AAATTCTTGCAAATCAAATTGACTGATTAAAGCTTCAGGCATGTGTCTCATACAAAAGTATGAAAGATTCCACTGCCTGAGGGTCCCCTTGGGTTCACTGATTGCCATCAGGAATTATAGGGCATCTTACTCAGGCTGGGTTTGGAAAAGGTCATGGCACTAGGGATATTATAGTCAATGTTAGATGGATCTTAGCTGAAAGCAGGGAGTACCAGAGTAATAACTGTGTTTAATTGACTATGCAAATGCATTTGACTCTGTGGATCACAATAAATAATGGATGACTCTGAGAAGAATGGAAATCCCAGAACACTTGATTGTGCTTTTGTAAAACATACACTTGGAGGCAGTCATCGGAACAGAGCAAGGAAACACTGAATGTTTCAAAATCAGGAAAGATGTACACCAGAGATATATCCTATCTCTATACCTTTTCAATCTATATGTGGAACAAATAATCCAGGAGGCTGGACTCTATGAGGAGGAATGTGGCATCAGGATTGGCGGAAGACTCATCAACAACCTGCCTTATGCAGATGACACAACCTTGCTTGCTAAAACTGAGGAGGATCTGAGACATTTGCTACAGAAGGTCATGGACTGCACCCTTCAATATCAACTAAAGCTCAGTATCAAGAAAAACTTCTCACCACCAAGCTGATTGGCAGCATGATAATAGATGGTGAAGAAATTGAGACTATTAACTGCTTCAGTTTCCTTGGCTCCACAATCAACACTCTTGGTACCAGCAAGCAGGAAATGAAAAGATGAGTTGCATTGGGAAAATCTGTTGTCAGGGACCTCTTCAGGGTACTGAAGAGTAACAATATCTAAGAAAGACTAAAGTGCACCTGATTCAGGCCATGGTCTTTGCAATTACTTGTCATGTATCAGAAAGGTGAATGATGACTAAAAATGATAGAAGAATTGATGCCTTTGAGTTGTGGGTGCTGGAGAAGAGTATTGAATATACCATGCACTCCTAGGAGAACAAACAAGTTCATCCTAGAGAGGGTGAAACCAGGCTGTTCATTGGACACAAGAACTCTGAAGTTCCATCTGACATACTTTGGGCATGTCGCACAGAGGGACCAGTTCTTGTAGAGGGACGTCATGTTTGGGATGGTGAAGAGACAACAAAAAAGAGGAAGACCCTGGATGAGATTAATTGACTCAGTGACGGGGGTGATAAAGGTAGGTGTGTCAGAGGCAGTGAAATTGGCTCAAGATAGAGCAGGGTTCAGAGCTGTTGTACATAAGGTCAATCTGAATTGCAAGCAAATTGACAGCCTATAACAACGACCCCATACAAAGCACCCCAGAAAGCACTGTGGGGAAGATACAAGGGAAGAAGATAGGAACTAGTTGGTCTTAAGAGATTTACATTTTAAGGATCCAAAACAAATGCTGATGAACCTAAACAAAGACAGGATCAAAAGAAACAAAATTATTGTAGTGAACTGTAGAGCTGAACTAACCCGTAGAGGGAGAGTTAATCAGTTAATCACATGGGCGGAGATTGCCCATCCTTCTCCCAAAGAGCAGTGGTGGACTTGAACTGGGTGCCTTTGGGATTGCAGTGCAGCTTCTTACCACTAGGCCACTAGAATTTCTTGACAAAACTAGGTACAGTTAAACTAAGGATCTGTTAGAAAACCCACTAGTGTCACCAAAATTACTGATGTCTTTACCATTTTTATTTTATTTTTACATTAAGAAAATCTGAAGGCTGTTCTTGCTAATTACACTCCTTCCCCTACTCCGGAAATTTCTAATGAAGAACTGAAAAACAAACAAGGAGCTCTGGTATATTCACAATTGTCAGGTCAAGTTGGTGGATTTTGTCACGCAAGTTCAAGGCTTTTTAAGACCAATGTTACTAAGTTTATGAGGTCAACTCCTACCACTCCCTGCACATACACACACTCACATACATCATTACACTTCACACAGGGCTACTGTTGTTGTTGTGTACCACAGAGTCGGAACCAACCCCCAGCTGAGGCAGTTAATCACACTGGAGGAGGGTGACCATCCTTCTCCCATGGAGTAGGTGGTGACCTTGAACTGCATGTTTTAGGGTCTGCAGCACAGTTTATTGCCACTAGGCTACCAGAGCTTCCAGAGGATAGAGTGATCATTCAATTTAAATAAACTGTTGTTATGTCAATTGTGGCTCACAGTGACCCTTACGACAGAATAGTGCATCTCACTGGGTTTCCAAAGACATACATCTTTACAGAAGCAGCCTTTCTCCTAGGGGCAGGTGGATTAAAACCACCAACCTTTTAGTTGTCAGCCTAACATTTACTACACTGTGCCACCAAGGATCCTTAATTTAACCAAAAAATCCCATTGCCATGGAGTCAATCCAACTTATAATGACCCTCCATTTGGTTTTCAAGACTGTAAATCTTAAGGAGAGGAGACTACTTAACAAGAGAGCAGAAAACAGGATATATGAGCACAAGGCTATGAGTGTCTCTCTGAAAATAGCAGAGGAAGTAAGAATAGAATAACCCCTCACTGCTCCAGAGCAGAAAGCAGATAAAGAGCCATTAGCCCAGCCATACCAAGAGCAAAAGGTTTGTTTGTTCATTATTGTCTTATAGACTTTACTCACAGTTGTGGTTCTAAAAATGAGATTTATTAGCAAAATAAGTTGGAGAGTTGGGAAGGCAAAGAATATCACCCAATGTAAATCTAGGTTTTAGCCCAGCAGTCCCGAGGCACAATTCCTCAATTAGTCCAGGATCTGGTTTTAGTTCAGCAACACAAATTCAAGAAGCTTCTGGTTTCCTCAGTCCTTCATCAAGGTTGCCTCAGAGCAATTATATAAGTCAGCTTCTCCTTAATTATCTGACAAATACAGCAAAACCTTTAACTGTAGCCTTTATCTCAATCCTCCTCTGGTTATACTTTGCCACAGTTTCTCCACAGCAATGCAGCAATCTCTCCATCACCACTACCAGGTTCTTGCTCTCACCAGAGTCTTCCTACAGTCTCCCTCAAATCTTGCTACCCAGTATGGGAAGTATGCTTTCTCTTATCCTAGTCTCACAGCTATTGATGTTTTCCAAGACTTACCGTTAAGGTAGTTGGGAGATTGTTGTTGTTGTTGTTGTTGTTGTTGTTGTTGTTATGTGCCGTCGAGTCAGCATTTCTTAAGCTCAAGGAACTGAAGAGCAAATTCAAACCTCGAGTTGCTACAATTAAGGATGCTTTAGGCAGAATGTTAAATGGTCCAGGAGGTATCAAAAGAAGATGGAAGGAATATACTGAGTCATTGTATTGAAACGAATTGGCAGATACAGAAGAATTTCATGAAATAGCATTTGAGCCAGAGCCTATGTTGATGAAAGCAGAAGTTCAAGCTGCTCTGAAGGAAATAGCAAAAAATAAGGCCCCAGGAATAGATGGTATACCAATTGACATATTTCAGCTAACAGATGTTGCCGTGGATGTGCTCACCAAGTTGTGCCAAGAAATCTGGAGAACAACCACTTGGCCAACTGACTGGAAGAGGTCTATATTTATTCCCATCCCAAAGAAGGGCGACCCAACTGAGTGTGGAAACTACAGAACAATATCATTGATTTCACATGCAAGCAAGATTCTACTGAAGATTATCCAAAAACTACTGGAACAGTACATCAGCAGAGAAACTGCCAGAAGTCCAGGCTGGGTTTAGAAAGGGTCGTGGTACTAGGGATATTGTAGCTGATGTTAGATGGATCTTAGCTGAAAGCAGAGAATACCAGAAGAATGTCTATCTGTGTTTCATTGATTATGCAAAGGCATTTGACTGCGTGGATCAAAACTGTGGCTGACTCTGAGAAGTTGGGAGATTAGAGGGGCTAAAATAGGCAACATTAGGCTAACACAGGACTATTTTTTACCCCATGAAGCAGTTGATGGACTCAAACCACCAACCTTTAGGTTACCAGTGCAACATGCTATGCAGTATATCACCAGAGGTGAACTAAAAAGATGTTGTTCCACAAAAACAGCAAATAAAGGGAGCAGCCAACTAAGATATACCTATTTGTCTCTGCTTACCCAAAGCAAAAGAGAAGGAAGAAATCAAAGATTCAAAGAAAAAACTAGTCTACAAGGCAAGTAGTCTATGTGGATTCGAGTGTCTCTAGCCAGAGACAAGAGCTAGACAGTCCTGGGCTACCACTACTGAGCATTCTAATCAGCAACAGATTATCTTTTGATAGACTGGGAGAAAAATATGCAACTGAAACTCAAATTTTAAAAAAGAAAAGAAAAGAAGAAGACTCACTGGACTGGTTGTGATTAGAGGATGTTCCAAGTCTCCTCATTTGAGATATTCTTTAAACAAGGAACCAAAATTGACTCCTGACATCACTTTCCACCTAATTAATAAATTCACCCACAAAATAATGAATATCACCCAAAAGTACTGTGTTTCTTACATGTTTCAACATATGAAACCAAATAGCAATTATTTTAAAACAAAGATGAGAACATGGGCAGGCAGGAAAACTCAATCAACGGAAATGGAACAACAAAACAGAACTAGAATGCTCATGCACTGTGAAGAAATATAACCAAATGTCACTGAACAACTTGTGTACAAACTGCTGAAAGGGAACCTAAACAGTTGTGTAAATGTTTACCTAAACATGTGTGTGTGTGTGTGTGTGTGTGTGTGTGTGTGTGTGTGTGTATTAAGGGGGCTCTGGTGGCCTAGTGGCAAGAAGCTGGGCTGCAAACCTGAAGACACGCAGCTTGAGGCCACCAGTTGCTCCACAGGAGAAGGATGGGCAATCTCCTCCTATGTGATTAACTGCCTTAGAAAACTCACTAGAGAGTCAGCTATGAGTCAGCTCAGACTCGGTGGTACACAACAATATGTATTAATTGCAAGTAGGGTAAGAGTTTCATTTCAATAGATTTCAAAATACCAGACAATTTAAGGTGTACACTGCATATTATCTGGACATGGAAAGTCAATACATTTGTGAGCTTACCAAGAACGATTCTTCTATGTGCAAAGTCCAGGCTTCTAGAAGCTATTTCAGCTGAGAAATGGGACCAGCTCTCCATGAAATCTGGTGGCAGTGTGGTTAGTCTGTTGCTTGATAAATCCAGGTAAGTGAGGTTTTTCAGGTATCTGGTGGCCTCAGTTGGCACACTGGTTATTCTGTTATTGTGTAAATCCAGAGTCCTCAGACGGGGCATCTCTTGGAGAGATGCCCAAGGGAAAGCAGCCAGGGAATTCCCATGCAAGCGCAGCTCATGCAGCTTCTTGAGGTTGTAAAAGCTGCTGGACTCAATGCTGATCACGGAATTGCAAGTCACCCAGAGGCACTGGAGCTCCACCAGGTAGTAGAAGGCCTCAGCAGGGATTCTGTGAAGAATAGTCTTCTCTATGTGAAGTTTCACGGTGTCTACAGGAAGGTTCGTAGGGACCTCATTCATATCCAGGTCATTGCAGAGCACCAGCCTAAGTAACAACAAGAGCAACGGAAAGAAACCTGCTTTCTGAGACCTATTTCAAAAATAAATCTTATTTGAGATGGATGGCAATTTTCCATTCTTGTTCATTACTAATTTATCGTAGATGTTATATTAGTCTTTAAGCATCCTAACAGCTATATTACTATGCATATGAAGTGGTCATTTTTGTAGGTCAAAAGTGGTCAAATATCAGCAATTTCATGTAATTTAACTCAACATTTGTGATGCTGTCTGTATGTAACAGGCCTGCCTAACACTCCTCTCACACATTTCCTTATTTAAACACCATCCAACTCTATAAAGGTGGGTGTTGGAAAATAATTACAAGCTGCAGCTTTACAACCAGGCTGATCAAAGTTCAGCTCTAAGATCTACACGACCTCTAAGACCATGGAAATCCACTTCTCCACCTCATTTTCCCATATGGAACTGTCATGAAGAGTAAATGGCAAAATTTCACATCTTCTTCAAACAAAATAAGCATTCAATTAGTGCTTTGTGTCACCAACACCATTTTTACAGATAAAATAACTGAGACTCACAATGTTAGATAACTTCCCAAGGTCACACAATTAGTGGGACACAGTGGTGGCCTTCAAACCCCTGACCAAGCAAACTCTTTCAAGCACACCCTCAAGTTCCAAAGGACCCATTTTAAAAGCAGCCTGTGTAAAAGTTACAAATTAATCCTTTTTAAGAGTACCACTTCATATTAAAAGGGGGGGGAAGCATTAACACTTTAAAGTTAAGGCCAATTAGTTGCATATTGTTCCCCACTTAGGAATAAACCAGAAATTATAGTTTCTGCCTACCAATCACTAACTTAAGTGACCTTCAGCAAGTCACGTTTTAGTCTTGTTTATTGGTATGTGTGGAAAAGCCTAGAAAAACATGCCTGTCCCCAAATGTAGGTGAAAGTTCAAGTAATAAGAGAATTTAGATTTATTTTAAGCTGAAAGAGAGATGTCTTCCTTTTTATATACTCAGCTCCACAAATTTTACAAGGCACCATCTACATTATTAATAATTATATTAGATACATAGAAAAATATCACCTTAAAGGATGGAATTTTAACAACCAACTTGTAGCATAAGGGGAGGCAGAAGCATAAAGCACAGTTATCAGTAGCAGCATCCCTTTTTGCAGCTTTAGAAGATCTTGTGGAATAGTTGAAATTCTCTAGAGACACATCTTGCTTTTTATCTATATCCAGCATGACAAATGCCATTGATAGCAATTTCTACTTAAGTCAGCAATCCAGTGTGGTATAATGAGGACAAAACCTGGATTGGAAGTTAAAAGACCTAACTTTTTTATCAACCCAGTCATTGTACCAATGCAACACTTAACTGTGGAAAAGTCACTTAACCACTGTATGGTTTAGTCTCTTCATACCTAAAATGAAAGGGAAAGACTTAGATCATTTCAAGTTCCTGCTAAGCATAATACTTTATAATTTTTAAAAAGACATCAAATAATGGGGACCTTATGAAGAAAGAAACATTTCTGTAATTATTTTCTCAAATGTAACCTGGTCTGAGTCACTAACTATTGCACATATTTGGCAAGTAGGTTTTCAATTTGTTAATATTCTTCTCAGTCTGTAACTATTTGGTGAGTATTTTTAAAAGATGTTAAAATGGGTTAAGAAAAGTTCACACAATTATTAGATATAGTACTAAAAATGTGTTTGTGCATTTAAAATTTTTGAGTCATTAAACAAGTGCCGCTTTTAACAATTTCATTGAAATCAAGAGACTTCAACCAAGTCACAAAATAATCTGATTTTGTTATTACATACTTTCTAAAAAAAAATCCCACAAAAACAAGCCATTAAGGTCTACCGTATTCAGCTAATATCAGCTCCATTTCACATATAGCTTATGTTTAGAAGGACTCTTGGTATACATTATAAGTAAAAAGCTATTGGAGTCAGTGAGTAGTAGGGGTAGGACAGGCGTCAGAGCTGTTGGACATAGCGTCACTTGATGTCAGACTCGATTTCACATAACAACATGTTGATGTTAAACAACCCAGAGGTTTTCTGTGATTCCACCTTGCAATAGACAATGGTGGGTGATCTATTTTAAACACCTTTTTTTCATAAATTCTGATAGTTTAAAGTGAAAACATTTCATCATGACTCCTAACTTCATTCTCCTGATTTTCCTCTCTACTTCCTAAAAATCTATCCAGCTGGCATGAGTATTCCTCAAGATGAAATGGAATACCTTCAAGAAATAGTGGAGGCCTTGTTTCACAGCTTCCAAAAGTTGGGCCAGCCCCCTGATGGTGTCTGGCTTCAAGGCCAGAGCTGGCCACACACTCATTGAAATACTGTGAGCTCTTGAAAGGAATGCTTTAATACGTATGAGTGCATGGCCATTTTTATAACATAAATATGTTTGAAAGTGTTCTCAGATAATTTGAGGGATGTTAAGAGCTATACTGATCAAAATGAAACAACCAAGAACTGGAGCAATTAGAATGTACTCGCACTAACATTAATAAATCAAGCTGTAGGTAAATGTCATCTTCTCTCCTCTAATTTCTACTACTCAATTTGCTTTTAAGATAAGGCACGATGTTTAGGCTCTTTGTCTAGGAATAAACAGAACATGCATGAGGAAGCTGGCACATACCTTGATCCTGTGCCGTCGTCTGGGCCGTGAGATCTGCAAGTGCACTGGGAGGGACACGAACCTCTCAATTCCACTATAAAGCTGAGTGCAACGCACAGATTTATAAACAGATGCATCCCTCCTTTTAGAGGAAAGGTGCACAAAAGGTAAAAGCCAAATCCTAAGCATTCAGAAACTGTTGCGCCAGGAACATAAGCAGCCATTTAGTAACAACAGATTACCCAGGATTAGCTGAGATCTGTAGTTACTTAACCTTCAAGTGTATCTTGCATGGGATCAATCGAGCCAGGCTTTGAATACAGCTTCAGTAAAGTAACATTTCGAGAGAAATGAAGATTGAAATCATGTCAGGAAAATGTCAATAGATACACTTGAGCATCTGGAAGGAAATGTCCATTACATTCTTTTCCCATGGACTTAACTACCTCTACACCTTGTAGAGAAAGATGAGCAACCTCCTCCCGTGGGATTTACTGACTCTAAAAACCCACTGGAGGGTCAGCTATGGTTTGTTTCTGATTTGATAGCACAAAACCACATCACTTTATACATGTATTTGGTATTAAAAAGACATTAATGTCTTGGTAAATGCTAACAAAAGACTTATTTATATGCAATAGCATTATAAATTTTATTCATTGCCTATCTTTTTTCTTTTTATAAAGGTTTAAAAAGAGAATGGTGTCATTCATTCACTCATGCACGCTTTCTTCCCTCTCCACCCGCCCATTCTCCTTGTACGACTCTGTCATACACGTGGGTTCTAATCATCCATTCCTTTCAGATTGTCCTTCCTTTCACTCGTTCCACTGCATTGTTTATTATCCCTCTATTCCAACTTTACAAAGTTTACTTGTAAAGATAGAACAATATAGCATAAAATTGATTCAGAATACAGTTATCAGAGGTAACATGTGCAGGTTATTTGTAGACATTGCAAAAGCCAAGTAAACAATGCCTAGTACATATAGTTCTTTAGGGAAAATGCTTCGATCCACCAGTAAAAGGCAGGACTAAAGACTTCGGTGAGAGCATGTCTCTTCATATACTCAAAGTACAGAGTGAAGCTTAGGCATGTACACTTGTTTTTAACAAAAGTACCTCTGTTCAAGAATATATTTATTCTAAATTAGCTTCCTCAGCTTACTTGTATTGAAAACCACAGCTGAAGATCAATTGTCATTTCTTTTCATAATCTTAGGAGCTTTACTCAAAACTCTAACTCACTGTTGTCAAGTCAGAGCCTCCTCCCAGCTGATCTTCCAGTGGGTTCTCAGAGACTGTTAAATAGAACAGGAGGAGATTGCCCATCTTTCTCCAAATGAGCTGCTGGTGGATTCAAACCAGCCACCTTTAGGTTAACACCACGACTCCCTAAAAATCACTATAAGAAAATAAAAATGGAATTGAAAAACTAAAATTATTGCCATGTATCATGCAGATTCCAATGATTTCTGTAATAAACGTAAGAACATCCAATGTTCTTATTCAGTGATTATACCAATACTCTTGAAACAAAACAAAAAAAGTCTTTGTAAGGGTCAACCAATCTGAAAAATAAAAATACCTTGAGATATTATTTAAGAGCAATGCAATTCATACAGAAACAAAAGAGGAAAACTTGTTCAATTTAAATAAAACACTACATCTTTTTATATTTGGCCAATTTATTTGTTTATTAAATATTTACAGAGCACTTACTTACTCTATACCAAGACCTAGACTAAGCACTAGGGGTGTAAAAAAGAGTAACACACAATACACACAAGAAATTCACATGAAAAAGACAGTACCAGAGAAGCTCAAGAGAAAACACCAAGCCTGGGAGGAGTTGTTTAGAAAACAACTAGGATTCTAGGGAACTTCTAGGGAAGTTGTTTCCTAAGCTGTCTCTTAGTGTATGAACATTAATTTCTTAGGAGAAAATTCAGGGAAGGGGCATTGTAAGCAGTGAGACTAGCAGGAACAACCGAAGGAAAGCAAGAAATAGAAAGTTGACTTCAGAGAACTAAAAACACTTCTGATAACTTGGGCATAAAGTGTAAAGTTATTGTTGTATACCATCAAGTCAGAACTGACCCATACCTGACCCTCCAGGGGGTTCGGCCTAGTGGCAAGAAGCTGCACTGCAATTCCAATAGCACACAGTTCGAGGCCACCATATTCCATGGGAGAAAGCTGGGCAATCTCCCCCTGTGCAATTAGCTATCTCTGAAAACCCTCCAGAGGGTCAGCTATGAGTGGACTCTATGGTACACAACAACAACAACAATTAGTCACATGAGAAGAGATTTCTCATCTTTTGCCTGCAAAAATATGAAGTAGAAAATATAAAAAGAAAAAAAATAATAAAGTAAGAAAACAGAAGACAGAACTGGAATCCAGGCAAGAATGAAGTTATGAAGAAAAGACTTTGGTTTCACTGCTAAAAAGTTTGCACCAAGCCTACAAGGCCACAAGCAGTTGCAGTGGCATAACATGTTCTACTACAAATTCAGTCACTCCAGAAAGCAAACTAGCAACAAAGAAAGTCTTTTAAAATAATAATTTGAGTCTGAGGAGGCATTTACATACTGTAATATACTATGTATGGACAAGGAAAAGACAGCAGGGGTCTTAATCTTGGGTGCCTAAGTCCATCACAGAGGTAAGTTTGCCTACAATAAACTAAAGACATATGTACTGGAGTAGACATAACTCGGAAAGAACTGTTTGCTGCACTGTAAGAATTTACAATATAATAGGACACTTATCTAGGTCTGCATATGATCTAAATTGGGTCAAATTTAAAAGAAAATTATTCCTAAAAAAAAGAAAAATGTTGATAGTGTGTGCTCTTCTCCTGCTTCAGATTCTTCCAGAAGCCACTGGATTTTGAGATATATTCATTGGTAAAGTACTCATCACAGGCATTGCTTGGTGAGTCTGACATTTGAGCATGGCAAATATTGCTCTCCGGAACCTGCGATAAAGAAGAGGAAATGTGGAATCAACTTACAGTGATTTGGAGCTCTTAAAAAGACGTTAAATACTAATAAAATATCATTACTATTGACTACAAGGAACTCTGGGTGCCTAGTACTAACAATCTATGCTGCGATCCCAAAGGCTCACCGTGTGATTCTGCCAGTTGCTCCATAGGAGAAGGATGAGCAGCCTTCTTCCATGCAATTTAAGCCTCTGAAAACCTGTTGGAGGGTCAGCTATTGGTTCTGACTCAATGATACATAACCACAACAACACTACTACTAACTAGGGAGCTCTGTAGCCTAGTGGTAAAATACTGCACTGCAACCTCAAATGCATGCAGTTCAAATCTCCAGCTGCTCCACGGAAGAAGGATGGGTAATCTCCTCCCATACAATTTACTGTCTCACTGAAAACTCCCTGTAGGGTCCATTTTGGGTTGGTTCTGACCAGAGGGCACACAACAATTACTACTAACTGACATCTTAAACATGTATAATAATTAAATTTTAGTATCTTCATTAGATTGTGATCCTTTTCTCCAATGCATCTCTGTTGTTGTTGTTGTTGTTGTTGTTAAGTGTCATCAAAGTAACTTGACTGTGACTCACAGCAACACTACGCACAAGAGCTCTGAATCTTGCTATACCCTGAGCCAATTTCACTGTCTCCAAAACCCCTACCCCAGTGACTGTCAATCCATCTCATCCAGGGTTTTCCTCTACTGCACTGTATAATTTTTTGTAAGAAACACAAACGGCAACTTTATACATGAACCTCACTTGATGGACTACACAAGAGTCAGACTGATTACATCTGTAGAAAGTCATTGGAGAAACTCAATACCAGCTATGAAAACTAGGCCAGATGTTGATTGTAGAACAAACCACCAAGTACTTACACGCAAGTTCAAATAAAAGTTAAAGAAAATGAAAACAAATCCACAAGAACCAAAATCTGACCTTGAGTCTATCCCACATGAATTTAAAAACTGTCTCAAGAACAGATATGAGGCTTTGAACACCAATTATCAAAGACCATATGAGCTGTGGGAAGATATCAACAATATCATCCTTGAAGAATACAAAAGGTCATTACAAAGACAGAAGAAGAAGAAAAGACTGAGACGGATTTCAGAAGAGACTCTGAATATTGCACTAAAATGCTAAAATGTCAAAGTAAAGGGAGGAAATCAGGACCTTAAGGAGATGAACAGAAGATTTCAAAGGGAAGCTTGGGAAGACAAGGCAAAGTATTAAAATGAAATATGCAAAGAGCTGGAATCAGAAAGCCAAAAGGGATTAATTCACTCAGCATTTTTTTTATGCTGAAGGAACTGAAGAACAAACTCAAGGCTCAAGTTGCAATACTTAAGGGTGCTATGGACAGAATACAGAATGATCCAGGAAGCATGGGTGAGGGGTGAGTGTAACTGGAAGAATATGTTCATGAAAACAATGCATTCGAGCTGTGTAAATAAACTAGTATTTAAAAAAAAGAAGAAGAGGGAAAGAATTCACAATTACTCTACCAAAAAGAATCGGCTGACACCAAATAATTTTATGAAACAACACATGACCAACAGGCAGTGGTGATGAAGGAGGAAGTTCAAGCTACTCTGAAGGAATTGGCAAAAAGCAAAGCCCCAGGAATTGATGGAATACCAATTGACATATTTCAACAAACAGATATTGTTGTCCTGGACTCACTCTCCAGGTTATGCCAAGAAATCTGGAGGACAACTCTCTGGCCAACTGATTGGAAGAGATCCATATTTATTCCCATTCCAAAAAGAGATGATCTAACAGAGTGTTGAAATGATCAAACAATATCACTAAAATCATATGCAAGTAAAATCCTGCTGAATATTAACCCAAAAATTACTGGAACACTAAATCAATAGAGAACTAGCAGAAATACAAACTGGGTTTAGAAGAGGCTGTGGCACTAGGGACATCATTGTCAGTGTCAGATGGATCTTGGCTGAAAGCAGAGAGTACCAGATGAATGTCTCTTTGTATGCCATTGACTCTGCAAAGGCATTTGACTGTACAGATCACAATTTGTGTTAACACTGAGAAGAATGCATCTCTGGATGGAGTCAAATACTCAGTGTTAGTCATGGAGTGCTTTAATTGTGCACTATCATAATCATTACAAAAGTGTAGGGTAAATGGTACAGCCAAAAGCCAATGCTTTTAAATACTGAAGACTTTTGATAATGTCAAATAATTACGAGGATTTAACAGGACATTTCTAATGTCAATTGCAATCTTTAAAAAAACAACTTGTTGAGTACTGTTGAGTTGGAACTGACCCATAGTTGAACTTCAGGTGGGTTTTCAGAGGCAATTAATCACATGAGTGGAGAGGCCCATGCTTCCCCCACAGAGCAACCAGTGGATTCAAACTGTGTGCCTTTGGGATTGCAGTGCCGCTTCTCGCCAGACTTCCCTGCGGTATTGGAGAGGAATAATGACTAACCCATGGACTGTCAAAGAACAAACAGATATGTCTTGGAGAAGGTGCAGCCAGAGTGCTCCTTGGAGGTAAAGATTCGTCTCACATGCTTTGGGCATGTTGCGAGGAGAGGCTATTCCTTGGAGAATGGCATCATGCTTGGCAAGGTGAAGGGACAGTGAAGATGAAGAAGAATTCAACCAGGGGAGTTAACACAGTCACTACAATGGACTCAAGTGTGCCAGGGATTGTGAGCATGAGACACGGTTCAGATTTGTTATCTACAGGATCACTATGAGTTGTATTCAGTTCAACAAACCTAAGAGCAACAACTAGACTTACTCAATGATTATGGGGCTTTTTGAGTAAAGACCAGTTGAAATTAAGAAGAAGGGGATGAGAATAACTGACTCTTGAAAAAAAAACTAGTAACAGCCTCTAAATTAAAAATGAGTCCTCTGTTCTTCTATTTTGATCTGTTTAAAATGTTTGGTTTTTCACAACATGTATACATATTAAGCATATACTTAAATACATAAGTTTAATAAAAAGGAGCATTGACATTTCAGGTTCAAAATATCTGACCATTACAGAATTTTTTTTCCCCCTGGTCAAATATTTAAGCATAATGAATAGGTTCATTATTCCATTTTTCTTTGACAAAAATAAAATCATTTCAACTTCACAAAGTAAGTATGAAAGAAAATCCTTGCTGAGTCCAAAAATATAGGAGAGTGAAACTGTCTACTATCCTAATGGCAGCTGATGCTTGAAGCCATTTATGTTAGCACTGAATTTTTTCCTCTTGTATTTGGGTAATAGACTGTTTTCCTAATAAATATACAACAGTATTCCCCACATAGGAAGCAAACATTGCCTTGTCCATTTCCCAGCAATAGAATGGCTCTGTCTTTTGGAAAAAGTCACTAGGTGGCATTATTTACAATCAAATGCTAAACTAAATGTTGGCCATTCAAACCTACCAAGCAGTTCTGTAAAAGTAAAGGCCTGGTATTCTGTTTTTACTAACACCTCAGCCAAGAAAACTCTACAGAACACCTCTACCCTGTAACACACATGGTCATCATTAATTGGTATCAACTAATAAGCATAAGCAACCAACAGCATCTTTTTGTAAACTCATTCCATATATTTTGGATGGAATAAGGGAGATGCAAGTGGTTAATGCTGTTAACCAAAAGGTTAAAGGTTCCAGGGCATCTAGAAACATTTTTGAAGAAAATACTGGTGGTTCACTTTCAAAAAATGGTCTCTGGAAACCTAGTTCTATGGAGCACACATAGGGTCACTGTGAGTTTGAGTCTACGAAACAACAACTAATTAGTCATATGAACCAAGCTGAACCAAGGGACCTCGAGGGACATTTCTACCAGAAAATCTTCTGTGACGAAGCTCACATTTGGAGTTGGTTAACTAGAAGTGCTTGATTCTTGGACTATCCATGATTATCTCTGTCATCATGTGGGAAAGCCTGTGACAAAGCTAGAGAATCCATTACATAAGCTAAACTAAACACTCTTCTTCTTACACTCGTCTGAAGTGAATTTCTGTTACTTACCTTTGTAGATATCTTAGACCATTATCCATTGCCTTTTATCAAGTCTTGTTAAACAGAGAAGTGTTTCAGTCATTACTTACTTCTTATTAGCAATCACATAAATACATGGGTTGTAGAATGTAGACGACTTCGCAAACAGTGGAGCTATGATTGCCATAGATGGTGGAATTTTCTTTGGGTCACCAAAAGAAGCCCATAAGCACACAATGGAATAAGGAGACCAAGCCACCAGAAACATCACTATCATTATCACAGACATCTGTAAAAGAAATTAATATCTGGTGTTGATAATGATATAAAGGAAATAACTACTATTTTCCCTTGATGTATTTTGTTTAGGTGCATGAAGCCAGCTATGATAAAGAGCTTGTGTAATTGAGATATTTATCACTATGTCACATGGACTACCGAAAGAACAAACAAATCTGCTGTGAAAGAAATACAATCAAGGAGCTCCTTTGAAGCAAGGATGGTGAAACTTCACTTCACATACTTTGGGCATGTTATCAGAAAGGACCAATCCTTGGAAAAGGATATTACACGGAGGAAAGCAGAAAGCCATCAAAAGAGAAAAAGACCCCCAAAAGGTGGGTTGACATGGTGAATGCAACGGTGGGCTTGAGCATGGTGAGACTGTGAGCATGGCGCAGGGTCGAGCAAGGTTCAGATCTCTTGTTCCTGGGATCACTCAGTTGGAGTCAACTCAATAGCATCTAGTAACAATAATGTACTACACTGATTTTAAGAACATTCCATTCTCACCACTGGACCAATTGGCAGTGTCAGGATGGATGACGAAGAGATTGAGATTGTTCACAGCTTCAGTTTGCTTGGTTCCACAGTCAACACTCTTGGCACCAGCAGTCAGGAAATCAAAAAGCGTATCGCGATGGGAAAGTCTGCTATTAGGGACCTCTCTAAAGCACTCAGGAGCAACAGTGTCTCTCTGGAGACTAAGGTGCGCCTGATACAGGCCATGGTATTTGCAATCGCTTGTTATGCATCAGAGAGTTGGACGATGACTAGGGAGGACAGAAGGAGAGTGGATGCTTTTGAGCTGTGGTGCTGGAGAAGGGTACTGAATGTACCCTGGACTGCCAGGAAAACAAACAGATTTATCTTGGAGAGGATTAAACCAAGCTACTCCTTGGAGGCAAGGATTCTGGGGCTTCGTCTGACATACTTTGGACATGTTGCCAGGAGGGACGGGTCCTTGGAGAGGGACATCATGCTTGGGAGGGTTGAGGGACAACGCAGGAGGGGAAGACCCTCTATGAGATGGATTGATTTGGTGACTGGGGTAATCGGGATGGGTGTGTCAGAGGCGGTGCGGTTGGCGCAGGATAGAGCAGGGTTTAGGGCTGTTGTGCATAGGGTCGCTATGAGTCGGAAACGACTCAACAGCACATAACAACAACAACATAAACATAAATGTAAAGAATATTATCTTGTTTTGCTGTGCCAGAAGAGGTTATTAAAACTGGCTTTGATGGAAGACAAACAAATCCATTCCAAACTCATTTATCATGATAATGTTATAGGTTGCTGGCATGGCTCCCCCCCCCCTTCCCTTAATGTTATTATCTGCAAGTCTGAAAAATAACTTTGTAAAATCAATCTTGAACAAATAATAAAAGCTCACTAGGTTGAGCTCAGTAAGTTCTAATGCAGTACATTGTGCTGGATATACAATATATACAGATAGTTCTCTAAAAGAGCTCTCTTACATTTTTAAAATGGAAAGTTATAAACTTTATATTGTTCCCTCTTAATTGCACATTAAAATGATTAAAAAGATAGTTCAAAACCTCATAAGGATAGAGAATTGGCAATTGTACAAATAGTTTTGTTCTTTACGTATAGACTGAATAGCAATTGGATAAGTGACAAACTATATATAAGAATTAATTTCGATATAAAAGAAAGAGGAAGAGGAAAGAAAGAGAGAAAGAGAGAGGGAGGGAGGGAGGGAAGAAGGAAGGAAGGAAGGAAGGAAAACATTCCATCAGTGATGGAAAACCAGATACATACAGACTAATTCAATCCACTGAATTCCAGAAGGTCTCAGAAATCAGATAGATTTAGAGATAACTCTAAATTTAGACATGCAAATAGAACTGGAAACAATTGGTTCACAATCTGAAAAAAGAAGCAGCTGTGCAAGAAACAATAAGATACCTAAGTAGGAAGTGTTCATTCCCAGATCATGAATAAGGAGAGTTAATACAGTAAAACATGACAATCCTACCAAAAGCAATCTACCTGTACAGCACAGTCCCAAGAGAGATATCAAATTCATTTTTCAAAGAGATAGCCAAGGGAGCTCTGGTGGCCTAGTGGCAAGAAGGTGCATTGCAATCCCAGAGGAGTGTGATTCATATCCACCAGATGCTCTGCTGGAGAAGGAGGGACAATCTCCTCCTGTACTAGTCAGATCCGATTTAACAGTACATACACAAAAAATATATAAAAAATAAAAATTTAAAAAATAACAAAAAGATAGCCAAGGCAATTGGCAAGTTTATTTGGGGGGTGGGGGAGAGATCTGGAATAAGCAAAGCACTTCTGAACAAGAATGAGGTGGGAAACATAGCATTCCTGATCTTAAAACCTACTATATATCTGTAATAACCAAAACAACATGGTACTGGTACAATGACAGTCACATGGAACAATAAAACAAAACTGAGAACCCAGAAATTAGCCCATTTATTTTCAGTCAGCTGGTGTTAAACAAGGAAACAAAGCCTATCAAATGGGGAAACAACAACTTCTTCAACAAAATGTGCTGGCAAAACTGGGCTTCCACCTGTTGTTGTGTACTGTCAAGTCAGACTGACCCATAGCTGATCTTCCTGTAGGTTTTCAGAGGCAGTTAATCACACAGGAGGAGACTGTCCAGCATTCTCCCTTGGAGCAGCTGGTGGTTTCGAACCTTAGATCTTTGGGATTGCAGTGCGATTTCTTGCCACTAGGTCACCAGAGCTCCCTGGACTTCCATTTGTAGAAAGCTAAAGCAGAATCTACATCTTACCCCATACACAAAAATCAACTCAAGATGGATCAGAGACCTAAGGGTAAAGCTCTAAACCATAAAGATCATAAGAGACAAAATGGGATTAAACTTAGGCCTAGCCTGTGGTTTTCTTTTTTAAAAGAAAACCTACTAACTGTGGAAAAAAAAAACATTTGGCAATACCATCTCAGACAAGGGTCTCATAATGAAAGTCTACAGAATCCTACAAGGCCTCCACACGAAAAAGAAACTGGTAATACAATTACAAAATGGGCAAAAGACATAGATTGAAGAAGGCATTTGGATGGCCAAGAGACACATGAAAAAA